CATTAGGTACACCAAACAAACTGACTCTTCTCATTATTCCTCAACTTACCTATAGGCCATGTGCTTTCTTTTTTACTTGCCAAACGAACCGCAATTTCATCTTGCATTTCCCAATTTTTCTTATACTACAAATGGATTGCAGCAAAATTCTTTAACTACCGTTATTAACAAAATTAATTCTTTCTACATCCCTGTCAAAAATTCAAATACATATTATGTACATTGGTTTTCTTCAATGATTTTACTTTTTCCTTCTTTCTTTGTACAAGAAAATAAGAGAAAGGGATCAGGAATCGACACGGTTCCTGTAGAATTATACGTGTTTCCTTATCAACAGACATAAATATCACTCCTTAGTTGGCTCTTTTAGATGAATTGAATGGCTTCAAACTCTAACCTAAACGTGTAGACTTCATAAAGGATTCTTCCTGTCTGAACAACGGTAAATTCTCTTTTTCTTGTGTTGCTATTTACCATCATGATACTTCAGTGAATCGAGACTGATTGTACCATCTAATTGTACCATCTAATTGTTCGATTGAGCAAGTGTCGCTCGTCAACAATGATACGTTAGAGACCTACGTAGTGCAGCTCGGGAGATTCAATTGTTATAGCATGTTATATTACCAGTAAAGGGTGGTGGAATAATAAAAAGTCATTCACTCTTAATCAAAAGTTTCTGGTTCGAGTCTTGAGAATAAAGTCCAGTCCTTTTGATAGAGAGGATTGAAACCGTAGTAAGCTTTCTATGACACGAAATGGAATTAGCTCAACCAATAGATTTCAAACATCAAAGAGTTAAACTAAAAAAGCATGTCATATAATATAGACGACGTGTATAGCAATGAATGTAGTAGAGGTCCCTGTGTTGGCAAGACGAGGAGTATATGCCAATGAATCCACCGACAATGGTAGATCCTCGTAAATTGCCAAGCTTAGCTTAACAAGGGGTAAAGGTTATTTTTTCTGCATCATCCCACTGCGCGTTTTCCTTGTGACCAACATCACGAGAGAGACAGTCTCAATCGTAAAGCAATGGAATGTATTATAGAGTTCCATGTGGTTGCGAGGCAAACAGTATATACTACCGACAGTTTTAGATGCTTGTAAAATGCAAGTAACGCATAGCTAACAAGTGTAATGACGGACTTATCTGGTATCCAAGAGAAAATGTCCTTTTCCTTTTGTTTCCCACCGTGCGTTTTCCTTGTGACCAACTTCACGAGTGTTACCGTTCACCGACTCGGTTTAGAAAAATAAGGTAATTATAGGATTTTCTGTCACACAAAACCGACAGCCATGCTAACAGACAGCGATTAAATACAACAATAAGGAGCATCATCCAGTTGTCTCCTGCTCACCCTCAATCCGAAATTTGTGAGGAAAAATATACACACACATAATGGAAAAGTTGTTGATGCACTTTGTAAGCGATAAAACAATCAAAAAATAGAGGAAGGGTAAATCGTAATCAAATATAATAATTCTAGAGATGCAAAGATGATAATGTTTGTTATAGATCCAGTGTTAGAAGGATGACAATGTATGTTCAAAAGATATATTAATCGGAAGTAGAGATATAGAGAGAGAAAGATAGAAAATGAGAGAGTTGTATTTGTTCAGATAGATCCCTCTTTACAATGTGGAGGTCTCCTTTATATAATAGAAGACCTTCCTCGAAAGAATCAAAAAGTTACAGAGATAGGTAACGTCTTTCTAGTGTAGACGCCGAGTTCTAAACGATGCCGCTTTCGTCCTCACGGCCGAGTTGTACCCGCTACGTTGGTCGGCGTACACTCATTGGGCGCGCCCGCTGGCGTAGAGATACTGAGGGTTAAATTTGACCCTATACAATAACGATCATGAATATGTGGACTTCAAAACAATAAACAATCGTTATCAAAGGTAATTGTTAAACCAACACGACGACGACACAGAGATCTTAGTAATCGAGGGTCGAGAGAGCCAAATATCCTAGTCTAGTGATCATCTTATGTTGCCAGATAGATTCTTGTCATCTACCTTAACATGAAAAAGCGTATCAAACCAGTTGCTGTTTCCAATCCCTAAAACCTCCTCCTTATGGGCAATCCATCTTCTGATGTCCTTCGCCTCAAACCCTGACTCATCATTACCAGCCATACCAGCTGAAACAGATTTAACTGCTTATATAGCTCTTCTTAGTCAATACACACCATGGAGGCAAGCAGTGGGTATTTCAGCTGCACACCTGTAAAACTCATCTACGGAAAAGATTATAATTAGGAATCAAATAATAAAAGATCAATAGCCACTACCTCGCCTAAATCCAGATGCTCTTTTATTGTGTGCCTCACACAACTTACATTAGTTGTGTGAGACTCCTTTTTCTCTCAGGACCCCAAATCTTACACTTCTGGGTCCACAAAACTGTGAGACAAAAAAGATGTCTCATACAATTAGTGTCAGTTGTATGAGACACAAAATAAAATTTTCCATTGCTCTTCATTTAGTACTATTTTTTTAATCCGAAGCTATTCAATTACTGCGACCACACAAAAAGGCAAATATTCTACTCCTTCATGACGTTTCATAATTGTTTGACAGTTGCGGCAAGTAAAACCACAACCTACTTCTTGCAACATCTAGTAATGTAACCATCCCTTTGGATGTCATTGTATGCGCCTCCAACTAAGAACCGCACTATAACAGTCACTGCAGCTCCAATATTGGGTGATAATTCAACATTGATGGTCCTGCAATTCTGCAATACCCATTTAACAGATCCTATGGCCTGAAATTAAAATTAGCCAAGAAATATGTGCAACTTAGATCTTTACAGCGACACTCAGACAGGCAGAAGATTTTTGACTTATCTCCTCAATTACTTGGTGTTAAAAGCCCAAATCTACCTATTATTTACTTGCTCCATCGGACAATGATAGATGAATGATATTGCATTCACAGTGAATTAAATTGCTAAACAAAAATATCAGATGTTTATCCATTTTTCATTCGGTCTCATAGGACCAACAGAAGAGAGCTTCAAATAATTTGGATACAAGAGATCATATGTACAATGTCTCATGGTCGAGTAGCAGAACATGAAGATTAAGGCAATCAGAGTTTCCTACAACACATAAACGGACAATTTCCTGCTACATTTATTTTTAATGTAGCAACAGCACTGAAAAGTTTTCAGCTTGACACAGGCATCCCTACCAGGAAAATCTCCCATAACAGATTCAGCCTGAGAGATGTTAGTCTGCTGTCCAGCTCTGCTCAACAATCTCACGCACCTTCCTGTTGTACTCGCGCTTATTCTCACTAAACATGCGTGCTGCTTCTGAATTTGCTGGCGAGTTTGGGTTTGGATCACAGAGCAAAGACTGCATTTGGAAAAAGTCACACATTAGGGGCCGTTTACAAGCAGACATGCTAATGCTAATGCTTTCTCGGTTCAGTTTCATTTACTCCAGCCCACGTTTATTACCGAGTTTGGTTAATGGGAATTGACTTGACTATCTTGGTCCCACACCAGACATCAATTAAATTTTACAAACAAATGATAAGATTCAGAAATAGAAAACACTACTGACCACCAAAAACTGAACTGGACCTTTATGGAAAGATAACAAAAATATGGCGGTGACAGATCTTTTGAACTCCCAAGATTAGTGCCTAGGTGAAACATAATGAAATAGACAGAATGATATTGAGCAGCTAAGACAGACAGGCACCAACTGAGCAGTGTCTCAGATGGAATTGAACCCAAGTAAAATTGTTTGAACCAAATAAATTTAACCAAAAAAAAAAAAATGCCTCTTAAGCATTTATAGACATAATCAATGTTCTAAGAACAAGGACCTGTTTGCTTTGGATTGATTCTTTTCTGTTATATTATTAATTTGTTGAATAAGTTAATTTTCTACTAGTGAAAATGATATCAAGCACAGTATATAGCATCTATGAACATCTTTTATCATCTAATTTGGACCAAAAAATGAAGCCTGCATTCCCAACTTATCCAAAATAACAGATATCCTGTTCTCATCATTGTACACTACTCTGCCACCAGTTCAAACAGAGAAATGCAAAGGAACACATAATCTATACGTGTCCACTAACACCTACATCCAAGGAGCTACTTGACCACCAAGAATATCATGTCTTAATAGTAGTATACTATCAGTACAGAATATGAAGTATAAAAGGACACAAAGCTACAAAGCTAATCAAGGTGGGGACAAAAGAGATGGTCTATGATGTGTCTAAAATAAATGCCAATACCAGGATGTCCATTATTCTGCATGGGAAAACACACACACACACACCAAGGAAATAAAATGAAAGATGCTTTTCACGCTATGTTTCTCCAATATTCTGTATACACATAAGGCATAATGATGTAAATATAATAACAATTTCAACATACCTGGATTGAAGTAAGTATAGCAGCTACGTCATATATAGGACTCCACTGATTTTGCAGTATGTCCAAGCATATACTTCCATCGGCGTAAACTGAGCAATAGATAAGATATGAGAAATCAGCAAAACTAAAGTCAAATTTTTGCTTTGCATGATAAAGTAGAATCAAGTCTTTATTTGAAAAGTAGAGTAGAATCGAGGCTAATACAAAAGGCAAGAAGTAGCCATTTTGAATGACGTGGGAGATCTAGGATTAACTTCTGCACAATGGCACAAATGAAAATAAAGACATAAAACCTAATTGGTATACACACATAAGATGAGCTCTCTCAAAAGCCAATACTTGAACATAAAAGATCACATTGCTCAGATTGCATGGGCTGTTTAGTCAAAACTGGGCATAAAAGATTATGGTACTCGTATTGCTTGGTCAGGTGAAAATAGAAGATAAGAAAAATAGGTGCAGCAAAACAATTTCAACTGACAAGCAGTACAGTATGTGGACTAATCTAGTATAAGTTGGGAGATATACTGAGCTACAGGCCTTAACACATACACATAACTTAACACTCATATGAATCACAAAACACATTCAATTAAACAAGCACAACCCAGGCAGCTACCAGAATATGGCTAATTCTCTCTTCATCAAGAATTTCAAGAAACAGAGAATTACTCTAAGCCATAGTAATTACCAAAGATTTTTGCAATATCTCCATCAACCATTACTGGGGAAAAAGTGTCACATCACACGACTCATTAACACAGCGACGCCAGAGTTGCCTATTACATATATATGGTATTACCATTCATATAAGTTCAAGGATAAAGATTTGGGCTGACCTTTGAAAAGGTTGAGTGGATGGGGGAGTCAATAATTTCTTAGAGTTAAGGAGTGAATTAAATTACCAAACATGTTATCTAATATAAGTACATACCACATACTATATGTCTGAATGGTTGGGAATTGAAATTTTTAAAGGAGGAGAATGTTTTGTGAAGAACAATGCTAATAGTCAAATATGGATTGAGACGAATGAAGGAGAAAAACATTTTTCTACATTCTTTATAAGGACATTCTATATTTTATAGGTATAGTGATGGCATGAGAATTAGGTCTCAGAGAGAATGGTGATGTTAGACTAGCAATACAGGATTAAGAATAATGATATATGAAATGGCCTATTGGTGGTGAAGGCATGATAGGATGATACAAAGGAAGAGAGCACACTACAAGGAATCGACTGAAATGGGGATTGAAGTGTTGATGCAGAAGGTGTGGCCGTGTGGGATATAAAAAATCTAAGAAGCTAGCTTCCTTCTCGCGGTACGCGGTGTGAGACACAATACTAACTATATTAAAAGGTCTCTGAATTGCTATAACCTCTTGTCAATACTACTAGTCGTCACACCACTTCCTAGACAAATCCCAACAAGATAAACTCAATTAACAACCGAAGCTTAAAGTTGAAAGTTTTACCTTTCCTAAGGTCTACAACTACGCGAAGAAAGAGGGAGAGAAAGATAAAAGCAACATTACTTGGGCTACTTACTATTTGGATGGAACATCCTGGAAATAAACCGCACAGTTGGAGGCTTGTTGGGGTAGTCCTCTGTAAACTGAAGGGTGAGCTTGAACGTACCTGTAAATAGAATTATAGAACACATATTTAATAGTCAAAATTGGGGTGGAAAGGCATGACTATAAATTTTGATGGTTCTTGTCCATACAAACTAGAGGCGCCTGCTCATACTTCATTTTATTGAAAGGGGAAAAACAAGAATGGAAAAGAGAAGAGAGAGCAAATCTTAATAACGACAATAAATATTTTTAAAACTGACTAACTACCTTAACCACCTAGAAGCAAATAAGAATATTCAGCACGGACGGGATCAGATATTAATTTATTATCATGCACCACAGAAACAGATTCCTAGAAACCTTCTTCATTACGAACGAAGCACCCAAAGTGGACTAAACTAATATGCTTTACTTAAATGGAAGTGATGAGATCCACACAAAATGTTTCATCCACATAGTCAAGTGACAAGATGCCCTTTACAAAACACACATAGTCAAGTGACAAAATGCCCTTCACTCACAGCGCGATAACAAAAATGACAAAGTAATGTAGAAAATAGCAAGTGGCATTTGACTGCACAAATATTCTTAGGAGGTATCTAACTATCCGTATGATGGACTAAGATTCAAAGTAATGCTTCTGTTCGTATTTTAAGCATCAATATGAAGAGAGAGAAACAAAGACAGCAACTGAGCAACAATTTACCTCCATCCCAAGGTGTATCATCAGGACTGCATTTCAAAGAAAAAAGAAAAGTTCATAAGTACAAAGAAACTACAGCACAAAGTACAAAAAAGATGCAGAGGATCCTGCAGATACCCGAATATAACGGCATTCCAGAGCATAATATTGTTGTCATACGGAGCACCACTGATGCCGGCAGGAGGATCCTGCTGTAACCTCTTAAAATCCCTCATCAATCTTTTCCTCGCCGGCGTCGACATCCTGACCGCCTAATCCCACAACTCACAATTCATCAACTTGCCAAATTTAACTTTAAACAATCAAAAGTTCAGCTCCCTACACTAATAAGCCACTAAATTAACATAGCAGTTTAGATTATAAGGCAATCACATGCCAATAAATCGAACCGAGTGGAAAACACTAAAACTAGGAAACCCTAGATCCACAAAAAAATGAAATTATAGCATAAATTTGTAGTCCAAGACATCACCATTGATTAATTTAGGGATCATGTGAAAATGAGGGAGATTAAATTACCTGAGTGACGAAGCGGCAAGAATTTCAAAGAGAATCGAGGAGATTGAAATTGAGCTTGGATGGAGTTCAGTTAAGACTTGAGAGTTTCTTGTGCGTCAGCTGCTTATAGGATTAGGAAATGAAGATACGGAGTTTGCGTGATATGTAAGCTGGTGAGATACGTGACCTGATACATCAGTTGCGCGTACTTACAGCTAATAGCCTGATAGTGTGCCAATAGGGGGATACTTATTTATTTTTTTATTAGGAAAAGTTGCACATTAAAAATTAACACGTATATATACTAGTAGTTTCTTTATATCATCCTTTCACAAAATATATACTAAAATTAATTAATACTTACATAATTGAAAAACATTTGATTTTATCTTAGATTACATACTTAAATATGCCAAAGGCTAGTATTACTTTGTAACTTTAAGACTTTTCTTATAAATAAAGTAAAAAGCACACTCTCCTACCAACTCAATCTCGATTTTTCTAGCCATATGTTACCAATTAAGTTTTGGTATATTTTCTTGAGTTTGATTGTCAACAGACGACGTGAAAAGCAGCATTTCTTGATCGACTTTTTTTTCCTATATTCTTCATCCATAACTTAATCAATTGCGCTATGACATAATTGTCTTCTCAAGGTTGATTGTTCTTTTTTAGAGGAATATTCAAGCCTCACATTTTTATGTGAATGTGCATATCATGCACAAAATTAAACTTCATAATATAAACCTATAAGTAATTATTACTTTTATTCATCAATAAGTATTAAGAGCTCAAAACTATAAAATGGCACAAATGCATGCCCTTTAAATATGAAGCGAAGATGGTGATTTATCAATCCATTGATTTGTATAAATGACAGAGTTGGTACTGCTAAGTTGAATTTAATATTATCAAAATGGACTAACCAAAAAACAAAAATAATAAGAAAACAAAAAGGAAAAAGACAAAGAATTTAGAGCTTTAATAAGTTGTCATGCTATTTTTTATCCACTGAATGAAAATTAGATAATCGAGTGTGATAAAATTAAGGAAAAAGGGTCATATATCTCTTGTACTTTCAAATAGTTCTGAATTTTATTATTATTATTATTATTATTATTATTATTTAGAGTTTGATATCTTCATTGAGTCGCTACCTTTTTTCACATTAGTGTATCAGAACAAGGAGCTCTGCTTCTCTCCCTATTTAACTAAATAGGACTTAGATAAAGGCAACATAACTTTCAAATAAAAATATTTATAAGATGTGAAAATAAATTTAAATGGGATTAGATTTTTTTTTTTAAAAATGGGATTAGATAGAGGAAAGCTTAGGAGGAATTGACACATTAATCAAAATGATGGTTGCTTTGTCCCTTTACTCTCCTAAAATGATTCGGTTATAGTAAAAATGTATTACCACTATTCCCAAGAAGCGTATAGTGCGTATGTAACTTGAAGAATGCAACAAACTAATTAAAAGCAGTAGAATGCGGACTAACAAAACTGCTGGTAAATGCATATGCAATTTCATCTTTCTTAAATATATATATAATTTTATCTGCAAGAAGTAAATAATAGCAGAGTTATAAGTCATATGGCAATATCTTTCGTCGTAGATCCATATTCTAGAGCTATTTGTTACACCTCCTTTTTTACACACTCCGAGGGATAGTATAAGTGAGTTTTTCCAATTAAAGTGACATTATTCGAAATGTGATTATTTATTCGATTATCAGAGTCACCACTTGGAATATTTAATTGGTGTCCCAAGTCACCGGTTTATTTTAAATCCCAAATCGAGGAAATTTTGACTTTCCTTTTGAAGTCTGCGAACCAGAAATTCTGAATAAGGAATTCTGTTAACCCGGGGGAAGGTGTTAGGCATCCCCGGATTCCGTGGTTCTAGCACGGTCGCTTAAACTACTATAATTGGCCTATTATTTGATTTTAATACATGTTTTAGCCTATGGTACAATTTTACTTATTAACCGCTTTTAATAATTATTGTTGCATATTGCAAATCATGTCACGGGAACCATACCCACAATCTGCAACATGTCTGATTTTAAAAATTAAATTGTGGACGGGTCACATAAATGTACCCCCGGATTTTTAGTAATTATGCGTCACAACTACGTCACAGGAACCGTTCCCGTAGCTATGACAATTAATTAATTAACGCGCCTAAAGCAACTACGTACTTTCAAGTTTGCGAGGGCCATGGAAAGTTCAACTAATGGCACACCTCAATTTTAAAAGGGTTATTATTTATTACCCGAGGGCCATGGGTTATCTATTTTTGCACTATGGCACACCTCGATTCTAATTTTAAAGGAAGTTCGAACTAAGCTTTTGAGGGCCATGAACTATATCTTTGGCTAATATGGCACACGTCAAACTAATTTTAAGAATCTAACTAATTAAAGAAAGCATAAAGGAATTCTAATTACTTTTTAAGCTAATTGTTCGAACCAATTTTAGACTCATGGACTAACATTAGAAGCAAACAAGTGATTGGCTGAATAGGCCTAGATCAACAACAATTAAAAGAAATGTTGGGCTCAAACAACTGACCCCAAATACCAAAGGACATGCGGATTCTTTATTTACGACTGGCCTCAAGTCCAGGCCCAACATGAGCCCAAATCTTTTGAGAACTAAGTATCAAAGGGCGCAGGACTCGAGTTCGAGTCTCCAGGGCACGCAAAAAGCATCAGAAATCAGGGATATTGACATGAGCCCAACAGGGTTTTCAACAATACACAACAATCTGGCAATCATACTCAAATCAATCTTCAGCTAATTTCAAAAGACAATTGGAGATTTCAAATCTAATTAAACCTCTGTTCAATACATATAACAACAAACAAAATCTTATGGGACTGTCCAATAAACAAATCTGAATCTAAACATCAACCTCAAACTAAACATGCTTACAAGCACATCATGAGTAACTCTGTACATAATCCGACCCTTAAAGTAATAGCCCAGACCATTTTACTTATCGAAAATGACTATAAACTGACTACTGACTTAGAAGCCATTCCATTAATAATTTTCATGAAGTAAGGTACTACATGGTTTTCCAAATAGCAAAATACAACACTAGGATAAACTCCAACTGAAGATTTCTGGTTTCAAACCTATGCATATCAACTTAAAACAATTTAAACAAATTCCCACAACAAACACTGATTTCGACAGGCTACCACAGATCTGAAACATGTTTAATTCTGCTGAGATTTCTACTGCACCGATTCTCTACCATCCACACATATGAACATAAACTTCAACTCATTCAAACTAAACAAATGAAAGAAAACATTTGTCCAACACTATAAACAGAACTTAAAACTATAATAGACAAGAACAAACATACGCATGAGGAGAAATAATTAATTACAGAACCAATGTAATGCAGAAATAACATCTAATGAACAAAACAACATTGATTTTCAGCTCAATCAAACAGCCTCAACCCTTTCATTTCAACATGCCAATGGAGTTCAGTGAATACCTGGTTACAACAAAAACAACAAGGAAAATGAGCTGGGAATTTAAGATGAAACAGCAGCAGTAACAGTGTATCAGCAGCAATGTAACAGTAATAAACCAGCAACTCAAAACCAAGCTTTCAAATCAACTTAAGCTTTCTTAAACCAGATATACGACTTGGAAACTTTTTGAAACTCCAATGAACCAAAAGGAAGCAAAAACCAGAAACCAAAGCCAAATTTTCAGCAAAATTTCAGTGTTTTAGAGCTTGAAAGAGACTCAGCCGTTTTCTAATTCTTTCAGTGTTTTTTTTAATCTCTGAATTTCTAAAATCTCTAAAATCTGACTTGTGAGTGAAAAAACAATGACTTTATAGGCAAGCCTTAGGGCAGCAGAAATAAGTTAAGTTTTTGCCCTTTAATCCTTTTTAAATTTTCATTTTTGCTCCTATGTCCTTAATTAAAAATCAGTTTTTCAAAGTTAGTCCCAAACCCACCTTCCAGGAAGCTTCCCTAGTCAGTTATGAGAGATTACCTAGCTTAAATTCTCTAAACTACCCTTTAAACCCCTGCGATTTACTTCAGTAAACCAAACGGGTCAAATTGACCCAAGGCAAACCAGATATGGGCCTTCAAAACCCGGGCTAAATCCCTTCTTTGGCTTCTGATCTTCAAAGCCCAAAACTCAAATCAAACTAAAAACCCACAGAATAATAGACTAAACAGAGTTGCCAAAATCAGCATTCTTTTTCTTTTAAAAAAATGAAATAAACAAAAGCAAGGACTAACACGAAAATTAAAGATAATATGCACTTAACATGTTTTCTTTTCTTTTAACCTCAAGCATGCAAACAGAAATTGGTTCGAACAAAATAAACAGAAAAAATAAAAATAATAAGGAAAATAAAGGATGAAACAGAAGGAGACGGAGACGAGAAATAAACATGAAAAAATGAAGAATAAAAAAAAAGGTACCTATGGGGACGGTCTGGACAGTAGAAATTGAACAATCTTCAAAATCGTTCAAATTTTTGACCAATCTTGAAATTAATCGTGTGTTCCCGCCGGGAACACACGAATAAGATCAAATTTGACCCAAAATCTTCATTGACATGGCGATTTGGACGTTTTGAGATTTTAAGGTTTGGGGTCAGTTTTAGATTTAAGATTTGAGAAGATTAAGAGGGATTCGAGGGGAACTATGTTGAGATTTGGAAAGAGGAGGGTGAGAGGGTTCTGGGGTGTTATTTTCAGGTGGATTGGAGTGGTTTATGGTGTCGCCGCTGGCCGGTGGGGAGTTGGTATCTAAGGGCGGCGGATTTCTAGGGTTATTGGTCTCTGAAAATTAGAGACGATGAATGAGGGAGGTGAGAATGGGGGGGGGGGGGTGGCCTAGGTTCCGACACTTAAATACGAAGGGGGACCTCAGTTCTGGCCCGTTGGATCAATGAGATCCAACGGTTGAGATGAAACAGGGTGAAACGGGGTCGTTTGGTTATCTGAGCGGATGGACCGGGTAAAAACAACGGGTTTGGGCCTATTTGAGACGGGTAAAGGGTGAAAAATGTTTGGACCTATGGGAAATTAATTAAAACAACCCAACAAGACTTCTCTTTCAATTCCTTTTCTTTTCCTCTTTTTTTTTATTTTCAAAAATTCTTTTTCTTTTCAAAAAATAAAATTAAATCCTAAGTTAATT